TTTTCGCTTTATCAGATAGAGACGCTTGATTTCTTCGCTAGCTTCCTGAAATCCAAGGCTTTGCGCACCTAGCCACATCAAATGCATCTTGTTACCGTGCGTGAAGTTCATCTTGCAAAGACTGAAAGCTGTGACTTAATTCTCACGAGCAGCAAAGAGTCAAAAGAAAGCGTTCGGAATACCTCAACGGACGCCGGTGTGTGTGCAAGCGAATGGACCTATGAGTAATTATGGTTTATTATTCACCACAGTCTGGTCAGGGTTAACGCTGCAAGATTGCAAAGGTTTACAGAAGCAATTGCTACCAAACGATGGAAGCCTTGCCCGTAGTGTCAAAAAAAGAACTTTGTCAGTTTGTCCTCATCCTGGTGATATGGTTCTTTTACCNATTTTAATATTCTGTGTTACCGTGTGATGAATGACGAGGAAAGCTTGATCGACATTAACTAAAAGCCCTGTCTCCAATTTTCCAAGACGTACAGATCAGTGCCTTACGGTTGCTCTGATTTGGGTTGGATTCCGTCGAGAGTATAGATCGATCTAGGTTTGGTTCGTGTTTAGCTTGTAAATCGACCACTTGGAATTAAGATCAACCGGATGCTCACAGTCCAAACAACCAGACAATGAATTAACGATTGAAGCTCATTATCCATCTTTTTATACACAAATCGGACGGGGATTCATGAGAACGCACACAGCCGACCATAAGGCGCGAAAACAACGTGCAGTAGTATTGTACTATGGGCAATGTAGATTTACCAACTTTCCCGAATGATCTAGCTATCCGGGGGAAAAAGCGTAAGTACCGGAGCACACGAGAGCAACCTGAGACAGCCAGCAGTTGAGGACTCACTGGCGCAAAGGAACAACTCAATGCAGGAGTAAGTTAAACGTCAGTATTCTCTATCACTCAAGATACGAAGATACTCTCACTGAACATAATTCAAGTGAAACCATTTCGGTAGTCTAAGGTGAAATGTCCAGTTGCATGGATTTAACTCCCATGGGACGTTTCCCAGAGTACTCGAAACGCTTTGCCAATCAATTCATCCGGAAATCTTCCCCGGCAGGGTATCACGAATCCAGTTTGTACGCTCTTTCTTCGCAATTCATGATGATTGCACACCGACGCGTAACATGCTAGTTTCCAGATTGTTCCTTCTTGTCTCGGGTGTTTTGATTTCGCTCCAAACACGCTATTTCGAGTTTGGAGTGCCGCTGTGCACGTTACGTCTACTATTTTGAATTCAGTAGGGCGGTGGTGGCCAAGTGGTGTTAGGTCACCAACTAGTGACCTGGCTGTCCCGAGTTCAAACCGCTCCACCATCGCCCGTCTTCCCTAGATATATCTGTACTTTCCCCCAGTCAGCCTTTGTATGGCCGCAGCCCCCTTCCTGAAAGTTGACTGTACATTTGTATATTCAATAAATAGAAAAAGGAAGTAAAAATACATTATATTATATTATTCTGATTTTGATTACCGGAGACTTTGGATCAACGTATTCCCAATTAGGTTTGCTGTATTTAGCAGATCAATTCAGATATTGTCCACTCGCCCTCTCACGCCAATAAAACTGCTAGAAAACAGTGAAACACTTCGCTAGAGTATCTGTTGGAGTGAGAACAAGGTCTAATTCGCCCTCGGAGAATTTCGGGTTAGCGAAGACGCCGCTCGTAACATTACCACTCAAATTGGTAGTAACAGAAGAAAGCAATTTCAAAGACAGTTTCGTTTTACTATGAAAGACTCGGGCATGCAAAAAAAACTTCTAACATTCTGGGTGTCAGGGAGTAAGCAAACCATCAATAAATAGCTAATGCACTGAAAAACCTTAGGTTCAGGATAAAGCAAAATTCTGTACATACTGAATATACAACGTTTCGAACAACACCGCAGCGTCGATTGTTTCCGTCAGTGAGAGGGGGGGGGACCGAATCACCCCTCCGATGTAGTTATCTCAAAATGAAACTCGCCGCATGCCACGTGGAACGAGACGTCAATCGGAATTGAAAACGGATTTGCACCAGACACCGTCAAAGCAGTAGGGAACAATGTGACACCTTGTTGCACACCCGTCGATTTCCAGCGAATTTGTTCGCCCGATCGAATGGAACAACTGGGACCAGCTGGTGCGTACCAATGATGACCGCTTTCAACCGGATCCGTCTCCAGCTTAGGCATTAGCCATTCCGCCCAGAATGCAATCCCGTTCACTTTGTGGGGCGTTTCGGACAAATTGGTGGCTTCCAGATGTACCTGGGGATGACGAACAGTTTGTGTATCTGACTGTAGTGTGGCAAAATCCACGTCAAATATGACCTGAGGTGTGGAACGCGCTTCACCGGCATATTCCCACAACGGTTGTGGCTCAACGGTGGCGTGGGTTTGTCGCATTGCCGGTTGCACTAAACGGTCGAAAGCGGTCAGATTGAAACCCTCACAATCGGAACCGATTGGGGCGCGAATTTTCCACAACTGTTCGAATTCAACCAGTACAGCCCAAATACGAAGTTGACGAGGACTGTACAGACGAACATCTAGATCGGGGAATGCGACGCGTACTTCATCAAATGCGTACCAAAAATGCATGGCATCCCAAGGTAGAGTGGCCGCTACAGCAAACGGTTCCGCGACCACAAAAACACACTGCTTCTCAACTGTATTCACACTGTGATGTTCCCGAAATGTTTGAATCCATGAACTGGCTGAGTCTGAAAGTTGAATTGTCGGTGCCCTTTGTTCAGTTAGCACCTGGCTGTAAACCGATTGCAAGAATCGAGAGGAACAAGCGGATGTTTCTATGTGATCAAACCGGACAGTATGACCGGCGAACTCGAAACCGAGAGATTCCGACAGAAAGATCGGAAGCAAACTGCAATCAGACACAGTCAAAATATGTACACATTGCAAGGCCATGCGTTTCAGTTCAGTGGACAGACCGTCGACTAGACGGGTCATACTAGTCTGGTAATCTGCTGTTTGTAGTTGAGCAATACGAGTCCGCGGCCAGGCGTAGTGTAGACCACACTCACAAACCGGTCTCTCAGGGCCCATAGATGAGCAGGAGGAGGAAGATGGTTGATTATTGGTTGTTTCCGGAGGCGGAAGATCGAACCATAATGAGAGTAGATCATGCCGGAAATGGATTTGTACAGGTTGACCTTTCACCAATGTGAGTGGATGTGTGGGAAAATAAACAGCTTGCATCCAATGATCACGCCATGTTGCATCTGGATCGTTGACCCAAATCGGGGCGGTGCTTATGTCTGGCACTGTGCCAGTTGGCTCCATATTCATACGCCACCAGACGATAAATGCATGCGCAATTCCTGATCGGGCTGCAGTCAGCGGAGTACCATTTTGTGTTTCTAATGGGCCAAGAGAAACAGGCAAGCGGTAAAATGATCTTTTATGGACAATATAAATTTAAAAGGGATACCATTTGATAAGTCAGGAATTCCATTTTTATCCACGGCATATAGTCAGATACAAACAGTCCGAAGAGACTCATTAAGACCAAACAAGAGGAATCGATGAACAGAACATCTTGTTAACGCATCAACACCAGTCACCAATGGAATGTGAAGGTTTTTATCTGAGATAAAAATATTGCCTCGCAACGAATTCGGCATATCTCAAACGTGTATGGATCCGGAGTGCGCAATAAAGTAATGCGATGATCGTCGCCATCAAGAAAAACTCAACGCATGATGTGCTTGCTCGGAGGGAGGCGGTAGGTTAAGTTGTCCAAACCAAAACAGAGGAGTTTCTCAGAGAGTTACAAATGGAGCCTTCGGCTAGCAAAAGCCAAACATGTGTAAAGCTGGCGTGAATTGTGAGAATCGAAATCCGGTATTTCTAACCTGAGGTGCGGTTCATCTGTTCAAGATACCCGATCAAAATTACGGTCTGTTGGCTTGGGTATTTCATTCATCTAAGGTGCTCAGGAACTCTTCTAGCGACGTTTCACATCAAGGTTTATTATCTTGTCTATACCCTTTTCAATTTAAGAAGTCCGAATATCACTTTAAAATGTTACAATATGAATTTAAGATGTCCGAATATCAACATTAGATGTTCACTGGGCCTGTCTAAGACTCGCGGCTGTAAACAAGGTGTGGTTTCTCGTTCGGGTTAGCTGGACAAACACCAGGTCCCTTGTTGTGGCTGACCGATCGATAAATGAACCCGATCGGCCGTGTGATCTTCGGGCCAGCATAGGCGGCCGATAAGCACTGAATTCGATGCTGCTTGAATGTTGATAGAGAATCAACACGGGAGAATCAGCTGTGGAACGATGCGCCATGTGGGAAATTCGGAATGGAAAAAGTTTAAGCGATGACAACACGGGTCAACGTTTGACTCGTCTACGATACACGTACTATTTTTCTAAGCCCGTTCGGTAAACGGATAATCATAATAACAAAACTTATCTTATGTAGGGAATACAATATCCACTATTACAGGCCAATGCTAAACTCTTCTCAGAGTTTTACTTACTGGCTTTTTCGCGTTGAACGATTTTTTGAACTACGGATAAGATAGAATTCGGAAAGAAAGAACAAATATTATGGAAAAATGCATATTTATTTTATAAAAGTTTGTGTAAGAGTTCGTATTCCGATGAAAGGCACGTTTGTGATTGTCAAACTCACTGTCACTATACACATGTATACATTCTAACCTTATCAAGGCCACCCAACTTTGGGTGATGAAAACAAGAATCAGCCGTAGATTTTCGACTGTGTTGACTTGATTTTTTCGCTCATTCCCACAAAAAATACGTTGCTAGCAGAAATCTATCTATGGATGCGTTCAGTCCGTATGATTCCGGATAAATAGAAATCATTGAGCTAAGCATAATCCAAACCGAAATCAACAGATTTTGCTTTTGAAGGATAAAACTGAACTCACATGAAAACTGAAGTACCACACTAATAAATGTAGCCGTTCCTAAAATCTTTCTACCTTCAACTTGTCTTAATCCCTGATCTATTCAAACGCTGTGGTTTTTTGGACTCATCATCACCATTGTACAGCGTGATATAGTGAAGCGAACTTCACTGCTCGCCGCCAAACTCGTGATGCATACAAGGTTAGTGAGAAAGTTTAAACTGTATAGGGATTGGATCTATTTCTAGGGATGAGAAAAGAAAGCGAAACTCTACGGTTAACACACTGAGTACACAGTCCAACTGTGCATACACACGACTTCGAGCATTCTGGTCTGATAAGAAGTGACAGCAGGATCGCCATTGCTGTCAGTTCGCAGCCATGACCTTCAGTGTCTCCAACCACCCAGTTACGGAGTCTTTTGGACCCTAACCCGGAAGACTATAGACACCTATTCTACCTAATCGCTTCGTGCATTTCTTCATGCCTCGTATGACAAGTCGTACTCGACGAATGATATCTGTTCAACTTGCATCAGCATCCATGGGAGTTTCTCCACACCCTTCATTTACAAAAAGAGGTCAAACTTGTCCGATACAATTATGGCATCGTGTTTTGTTGTAAATGAAGGATTTTGCTATCCGTGATTAGAAAACCTAATGCTTCATTTTTGTGGACTGTCGAAATCACATCTAAATTTGAAAGTCAAAACTGTTACAACTCAAATCGGTGTAAGATCGATCAAAAATCAATTGTGTATTTGACCTGATTAAACAAGCTTAAGAGCATTAGATCCGTGAAGGAAAACGTTCGGATTAGCCATGACGATGAAAAAACCAAAAACAAGTTTGTTTCTTGGTGACGACGTTTCGACCCTCTTGGAAGGCCTTTATCAAGTCAATTAACAAGCGAACATATAGGCCTTCCAAGAGGGTCGAAACGTCGTCACCAAGAAATAAACTTGTTTTTGGTTTTTCCATCGTCATGGCTAATCCAAACGTTTTCCTTCACGGATCAAATACCATGAGCATGACGCACAATTACCTCAATAACATCCGTTCCAAATTTGGATCTGATATTGTGAAGCTTAAGAGCACTTCAAGACGTCTGTTTATGTACCCCTTGTGGATCGATTTGCAAGCTACGTTTGAAACTATTTCAGCACAATTAACAAGGACGGAAAAGAGACACCTGACGGAGGGCTTGACGCATTCTGAACAGTCTTGTCGATCGCGAAAATTAAAAAATATCAGTGAATACATTTTTTAAAGATACAATAATTTTTCAACCCAGTATTCTTCATATTTTTTCTTAAATTTCAGTATTTCATATTTCCTCACAATCTGATTTAATTTGGTTAACTTTGAAACAGACGGACTACCCCCATGCTCTAGAACGCCAATGTGGTCAGTTTGATGTCTTCTTGGATTTAACAGTCGTGTTCTGTGACAAAGACAATTCATTTTAGAGTACCAAGCTTGGATTAGCCCATTCGATTGTTCAGAGGCCCCAGGCACTCTTGATGGTCTTCGGTGTGGGTTTCACTCCTTGGGAGATCGTTGATTCCCCATTGTTTTTATGCATTCAAATGCGATACTGTCCAGTGCTCTTTGTTGGTTATCACAAACATCTGCATCGCATTTAAAAACATTTCATGTTTCGAATACGTTTCCTCAGTCTACGGGGTACCGATTGAAATATGTGCATACGTCAACGGAAGGCCGCAAATGCTGCTGGTATTTACAGTGTCAAACTCAAAATGTCTTACTTTCTTAAATTAATTTTAATAGGAGGTTCACAAGTCCAAGAGCCTCTCTACAGTTAGTGTGCAACGGCACTGATGTCGAACAGCGCAAGCCACGGAGCCATCCAGAGATGAACAACTGTCTTCATCGATTCATCTTCTAGGCTGTACAGATCACGGCATTCAGAACGAGGATAGACATTCAGACATTCAAGTCACAGTTATTGGTTGAAAGGGAGAGATAATGGGGATGAGTGATGAAACGTGTTTCACATCATTAGGTAACCACAACACTGCAATCAGTTTGTTATGCGTCCTCTGTGCAATCGACCTTCGGTCAAGGCAGTTGAATGGTATGGGCCAATCTCTTTTGTGGACATAGATTGCCACGTCATCAGAAGTAACGACTGGAAAAAGATAAAGGGTGGTCAAACTAAGACCCGGCATGAGGGTATGAAAACCCTAACCAGGAGACTAGGTCACATAGGCCCCGTTAGGCTCCCTGGCTGGGGACCTCGGGATGATGGTCACCGATGGTTAGCTACACTGAGTGATATGGCTGGGTGTCGCAAACAGTGGCGCTCTTGCATTCACTCGTTATTCTCCTAACACCACTCTATATGTATACCCGATCT